AGACTGCATCCATTATTTATAATATGATGCATACAGAGCGTAACGCTATACGCGGCTTATAGAGTTTATTGGAGACCACCGCCTACATAAAGTATATACAGGCGACGGATGGTATAATTCTATAGGCGGCGTACCATCACTTATTTCGATTTTGACGCTACACCAGACTTGCCAGTATCTTTTTTTTTTGGCTTAGAGTATCGTCATACAGCCAGACACAAAAGGACTAAGATAGTCATCATTATAATTACTTACCTAAATGCCTTATCAAAATAAAAGATTACATCGATATTATGAGAACAGGAACACACTTTTCTCGCCTAGGGACCTATCAAGGCATTGATTTATATAAGACACAAGAACACTAGGTTACGGAGAGGAGGAAGTTATATATGCCAGTATCTTGATACACAGGAATATAAATCTGTAACTGGTACTTTAGGGTACTTTTGGGTCAAAGCCAATATAAATAAAAATATGTAATATACACAACTTTTTAAGTTAGGCGGTACTTTCAAGTACTGTCCGTTAATAATGGCAATGACCTTATTCTATAAATTATCTATTTGTATTGTTTTGACCTTTATTTTTGTAATAATATTTTATTAATAATATTGACACAAGTTAAGAATACTGTAAAATAATTAACTGCTATAATCTATAATACTTGGTTTAAATATGATTAACTGAAAGTCCAAAATTTATTGAAATAACCGTAATAATTTAAAACGAATGCAAAATAAATTTGTATTATTAATTCATATTAAAAGGTAAAACTACTGTCTGCTTGAAAGGTTATCTTGTGTTATTTTAAAATAAAAAGTAAGTATTAGCCTGTTTTTGCCAATTGTCAATTAATATTAAAAAAAGGTTTTTATGTATATTAGCTAACTTATGTTTTGATATATTTTTACAATCCTAGGACAAATCGTTTATGCAGAAGAAACAATAAACATAATAATAAAGATATATAATACACATTGTGTCTTGAAAATAAATGTTCCAAAACAAACATCAATTATTATTTATCTTTATAGAATTGATTATTTTGATCTTATTGATTATTTTTCTTATTCCTATTCTTATTAAACCGTTAAAAATAAATTTATAATTATGTTGAAGTTTTTCTTCCTCTTCATCATCACAATCATTAACATCTTAGTAGATGTGTTGTGGTTCATAATTGGGCTTCAGCAACTCGGACAGTTTGATTGATAATATTTCTCCACTGGTCGCGGTCATCAGTTATATATGTATTGCCTCAGTATACTGTTTATTGAGAAGCTTTTTAGTAATGTCCGCCCATCGCTGTGGAGATCTTCCGCATTGGCGTTGAGTCTGAGGCCTTCCTTGGACCACCAACCGCTCCATTTTGTGATCACTTCGATGGATATGGCCAAAGAACTTAAAAATTCTAGAGTAAACGGTACTGGAGAGACGCTGATCCGGTTTAATTTCATCCAGAACCGAGATATTTGTACGGCGAGCCCTCCATGGAACTCGAAGCAGGCGTCTCCATGTCCACATTTCAAAGGCGTCTATACGTCGTCGATCTGATTCTTTGACTGTCCATGTCTCGCATGCATAGTAAAATATGGAAAAGACCAGAGTTGAAACGAGTCTCTTTTTGTTTGTCATAGTAATGTGACGATCACGCCAGACCCCGTTTAGTTCACTCATTGCTGCTCTTGCTAGTTGAATGCGTCTTCTAATTTCGGATTCACAACTGCCTGTGTTGTTAACTAGAGCTCCAAGATATATCATAGATGAGACTACCTCTCATCCCGCAATAGTTTGGGTTTCAGGAAACTGTTGTTGGCGATCAATAACCATGATTTTGGTTTTGTTGTAGTTAACCATGAGTCCCAATTTAGCACTTTCTACCTCGAGTTTTTTTAATAATTTAATAATTTCTTCTGGAGTAGAGGCTAGAAGTGTAGTGTCGTCTGCGAAACGCAAGTTAGATATCTTAACACCACCTAGGTTTACTCCTCCCTCCCAACCATCCAAAACTCTGCGCATTATGAACTCCGAATAGATGTTAAATAATAAGGGAGATAAAACGCATCCTTGGCGTACTCCCTTCTCCAAAGTGCATTTGTCAGACAGATATCCGTCCATTCGAATATATGCCAGGTTATCTTGATACAGTTTGCTAATAAGGTGAGTCAAGTGTTTAGGTACACCCATTGTCGTCAATATGTTCCATAAATTGTCCCATCTAACATTATCAATCCCTTAGTGCGTCATTATCCTCTTCTTAGTGCGTCTTAATTTAGGTTGGCGACAACCAATGACAAATTGGACGAATTTTTCTTTTACTAATCTTAAAAATTTAAGTGGTTTCCTTTCCTTCTTGTTTTTTGGAGTGCGTCTCCCTACGAAGTTTGGCAATCATAATGGCTATTTTTATTTTTGAATTTGTTTCTTCTTCTTTTGGTGCCTATCCTCTTTGGATGTTGGTAATCACGTTGGTCTATACAACTTTGTTGACAGCTGCTCTAAATAGATGTATGGTAGTCATTCCAGGCCACTGTCTGATGTTCTTCAACCACGATGTCCTTCTGCGCCATTGAAATCTTTTGCCCTCTATCTTGCCTTGTAAAATTAGTTGAATTAGTTGATACTTCTCATTGCACATCACATGCCCTAAGTATATCACCTTATACTATGTAGTAGTACTTATATGATTTTCACGACATACATAATTTTTAGATCTTTATTTATACGTTGGATTACGGTGTTGTTTGTCCCATGATGGATATAGGAAATTCTGAGCATGCGGCAGTAGCACCAGATGTCGAAGGCTTCTAATCATTTGGATGTTGCCTCCGTCAAGCTCCAGGCTTCGACACCATATAAAAGGGTAGAAAATATATAGCATCTCAAGACTCGTGTTCTTATATCAATGTTCAGGTGTATATTACATAAAATATTCCTATGGCGATTGAAAACAGCTCTCGCCTTTTCTATACGACGTCTTATTTCCTGTGAGTGATCCTGTTTCTTATTTAGGCTGCATCCAAGATGTGTTATTTTGTCAACTATTTTCATGAATTTGCTGCTCTAAACAAATCAATCGATCTGCATTGGTACCAATCACATAGATTCTTCAATCAAGAATTCTGCCTTAGGCCAATAGATCTTCTTCCTTGAATCTTTTCCTGTATTAGGAGTCTTAAAATTTCATATTTTGGTCCTTTTATCGTATGGCCTAGATATTCCAATTTTCTTGTTTCTATAGATGTGATTAGATCGGTATACTTTGGTATGAGTCTAATTCTTTGATAAGGTTCTAAAAGTGTTTTCTTGTGGCATGTCTTAAATTAATTCTATGTTTGTATTGAAATAAGGCACAATTGTTTGTATTGAGAATTACATTTGACCTAAAAAATTTGGCGTTTCGATTTCCACTTCGGAAATCGTTCCGCACTGAAGATGAGTCTTAGGGGAATATTGGGCTTATGGATTTTTGGAAGGTCGTATATCCTTGGAGTTCGGGATGATTTTCTCTCCGTATAAGAGATTTTTTATGTCTGAAGGTAGAGTAGACTTATTTATGATTGATTAAGTCGTTTATAGTAACCAAACTATAGCTGATGAAATCGTTAGGGACGCATTTGTATTCTGTGGAATTGAGAAGTTCGAATATTTTGTCGAAATAATTAGAAGAGTTAAGAAGGACGGAAGCATTAGCTTTGTCGGCCTGGCCGGAAGGATGACAATGTCAGGTAAAAAGTTGAAAAGTTGGAAATTTGTTGTATCCAAGTTGCATCGGGTGTAATGAATTGAATTTAGAAGAAGCGAAAAACCAGTGGCTCTAAGAATTTTGGAAATCGATGAAGAACTCTCGATACTGAGGGGTTAGCAGATTAAGACCTCAGTGCCGTTTGACGGTTCTTGTATTTCTACAGAACACGATACTTGTTTATCGTGAGTGAGGAACTCGAACAGAACTGTATCTATCTTGATAATGGCTTCAAAATGGGTGCCGAAACGTCGAGTAATAAACTCTCAAAGTAGTTCTTCTCGAGCACTTGATAATATTCATATATATATATATATATATATATATATATATATATATATATATATATCCACCTTGCTGATCTGTTAAAAGTATTTTGACCTCAAGGTTGGCTGTCTTTTTGTGGTTTAGTTCGTTCTGGTTCATCTAACGCCATTTTTTCGGCGACAGATGTAGGGCTTTGATCGGTAACTTCATTTACACTACTTTTTAAATAAAATTTTTTTATTAATATCACTTATAATGCTACCTAAAGTTAAAATCAAAGCTTAATAATCATTAAATAGTTGGAAGTTGTCTATGATTTTCTTGGTTCTTTTTCACTAATTAATATTAAATAATATTTCATTTACTTTAGACCACATGGTCATTTGCTGTGCTAATTTTTTATAAGTTCCTATATGTTGTTAGTTACTTGATTGTTTATACAATATCAGCGTATTATGTCCATTTACTTAAGTTTCATTCACATTATTGTAAATAACTTTGACTGCTACATGTCTTTTTAAGGTAACAATTAACATCGTTTACATGATTGTGTGGTTCTCATATTGTACTTTTTAGATGAACTGATGATGCTTTCAAAACTCGAAAGCGAAACGTCTTCAAAATAGATAAAGTAGCCTATCAACTTTGTCTTTTATTTCTCCACGTTGAGACCGATATAAGAACCCACCACTCGTCTGAGTGATCCTTATATATATATATTGGATTGACGGTCGTACTTCTTTTTCCGATATATATATATATATATATATATATATATATATATATATATTATATATATATATATATATATATATCAGTATAGTACAAAAACTTACAAATATAGTCACAAATAAAAAACTTTAGTTTGGAAATTAATTTTTTTTTTAAATTGCTATCAAATGTGTTTCTTCTACGTAAACAATGTCAAAATCTAATATCCCATAGCAGCATAATCTAAACATTTAAAATATTTTGTATAATACAGCTTGCTATGCTCAGCGCTACGGGCCTCGAGGAATTGGACATGCCGGGGGACTTTTCCTGGGGCTTATGTCAGATGCTTTGGATCTTGAATGGCAGAGGTACATTTTAGAAGTGATTATCACTGTTTTTCGTGTTTTTATATTCGTCGTTTTCACGTGAATGTCGATGTTGATACCCTCTGTCACTCACAATAGCAGTCACTTCGGTATAAAGCGGCTGTTACAATAAAGGTACATAACTCTAGGTATCCTCAGTATTGTACCAAATAGCAGCTTTGTATATGATATGTGACAGCTGTTTTTAATAATACAATCTCCTAACTTTATATTTTGTTTTGGGAATAAAACCTACATTAATAAATAAAAAACCAAAACACAATATAATGATAGAAAGTAAGAACTAACAAAAGCATTTCGCAAATCTCTCTTAGTTATACATACGGATTAATTAAAAAAATTACAGAAAATTTATTTTAATTTATCGTAATTGGTATGTATAGTTGGTTCTAGGCTTTATGATTTTATTAGAAGTTGAAAGATAAAAATTTGGTTTTATAGATAAAACAGTGACAACTGAGTTTTTTAAATTTTCACACAATCTATTAACTCGATAGTAGCTGTCTTAATGCCGACACGTAGTCACAAAAGATATTTTTTATTTTATTTTGAATTTAAAATTAAGTTGTCATCTTTTTTATGTTTGTATGTAGTAGGAATGGGGAGGTTAAAAGCCATCAATATGTCAGAGTGGGAAAAATATTCATATCAATATCTTCTTAGTCGTTAACCTGATGCAGGTATTGTGATATCATGAAGCTGTTAGGTAATTTTTCCAATGTTCCTCCACGTTTTTCTATCTTCTGCCAATCTAGCACATTCTGACAATGGAGCGCCAATGGTAGCAACAATATGGTCCGTGTATCGTGTAGGAGATCTACCTCTACTTCTTTTGTCTTCTACTTTTCCCTGGATGGTAAGTTTTTCAAGACCATTTCTTCGAAGCACATGTCCAAAATAGCTTATTATCTGTTCTGTTATTTGTGTTCTTAGTCTTTTCTTTATGTTTAGCTGGACCAGTATGGATTCATTTGTTTTTCGGGCCACCCATGGTATTCTCAGCATTCGTCTCCAGCAGTACATCGCAAATACATCTATGTTCTTTTTGTCTTTCTCAGTAAGGGACCAGCATTCCGATGCATAAGTAAAAACTGGAAAAACTAGACTTCTTACTAGTCTCATTTTTGTATCGGTAGTAATTTCATGGCTTTGCCAAATTTTTGTTAATTTTGCCATAGCGCTTTTTGCGATTGCTGACCGCCGCTTTATTTTTTCAGTACAGCCTCCTTTGTTGGTTATTAATGAGCCCAGATACACAAATTTATCTACAACAGCGATATTGTTTATCCTAACCAGATGATTTTGATTGTTGTTAGCTCTGTCAATTATCATGATTCTCGTTTTATCCCTATTTATTTTAAGGCCCATCGTTAAGCTTACGTCTTCTATCCGTTGTAGCAGGTGAATCAATTCAGTTTCAGAACTAGCGAGGATAGTAGTATCATCTGCATATCTCAAGTTGCAAATCTTCTTCCCGCCAATGGTGATGCCACCGTTCCAGTCCTCAGTAGCTTTCCGCATTATCCATTCACCATAGATGTTAAATAAAATTGGGCTTAGTATGCAGCCTTGTCTCACGCCCTTTGTGACCCTGAAACTGTCAGTTAGTTCCCCATTTATTCTAACTCTGGTATAATTGTTATTGTACAGGCTTTTAATTAGCAGTATCAGATGATTAGGGACTTCCATTTCAGACAAAACCTGCCACATTTTACTTTAGTTCATATTTTATATCAATATCAATCAATCAATAATCCCTATCGACGAAAGCAGAACTACATTACGAGATAAATTATAGGTTCTTCAGAATAGATAAAGAGAAAGTTTAAACAAATAGGTGTGGACGAGATAAGACGAACGTCAAAAAAAAAATAAATAAATAAAAAACGGAAAAACCACAGGAGCTAAGAATATCCCAAATCAATTAATAAAACTGGGACCGTCAATATTAATAGAATTGTTGGCGGAGATCTTTAATAAATGTCTTATCAAACAAGAAAATATTACCGAAGATTGGAGCTTGGCATGTATAAGCCGTATCCGCAAAAAAGGAGACACAAATAAAAATAAAAATTACATGTGTATAAGAATTATGAGCTTATTGGGGAGGTTGTACAGTCGATTGATAAAAGAAAGAATCGCAAACCAATATGAAGAATTAGAAGATCAGAGAGTGGATTCCGTGCTGGCAGATCTTGTGTTTATAATATATTTATACTTGAATAAATTGTACAGAAAAGAATAGACAAAAATTGATTTAAATATTTAAATTTAAATTTAAATAAAATTTCAGACGCATTCGAAGCATTAAAAGTCTTGAAACAAGGATGTTCTATATCACCAACTCTATGCAAAATCTACATTTGAAAAGTTTTAAACAACTGGAGAAGAAAATGCACGTAGATGGAAACAGAACTTGGAAACAAGTACATAACTTATCTTTCCTTCTCAGTCGATCAAGTGATCATGGCAAACGACGAGGAAGAGATGAATTATGCGATTCGAAAATTTACCGAATACGAAAATTGGGGACTTAATATCAACATTTACAAAACAGAATATCTGAGAACAAAGAACAGAGAAAGACACCGACAACTCTCGATAATAGATATAAAAAATGCCAAGAAAGGGGACATTCAGCAAAAAATACAAGCGAATGTGGTACATCAAATGTAACAAAATATGGTACAAACAATAAGCTCAGTACTTTGGTCTCCTAAAATTGTTTTACAAATAAAACTGACAATCTACAAGTCGGCTGTAGAATCAATTTTGACGTATAGATCTGAATGTTGGAAAATGAGGATGAAAGAGAAGAAAAAACTGGAAGAAGTAGAAATGAACTATCTAAGAAGAGCGTGTCGGATATCCAGACTTGATCACATCCCAAATACAGAAATGAGAAGAAGAACAGGAGGCATTTACAATACCGTAGGTATAATAGTATTTAATCAACTATTATGGTACCGGCATATATGCGATTGACGAAGGATGGACAAAAACAGACCTTAAACTATATTTGATGGAATAGAATAAGGAGAGAAGGCATCAGAGTAATAATAATAGATACTTCTGTAAATGAGGAGGCACGAACAGAGCAAAGAATTTGAAAAGCGAATTGCGGAATGCGACATAGGCTGTAGGACCAACGTAGATGTATGTATGTAGTAAAACGCTGTTTTATTCTTCTTATGGTGCCATGCATTCTGGTTATCTTGACTTTGTTTGCCGCAAAGTGGAGAAGCTGTATGCTAGGGGTGTTATTTTAACCAATAGTTATGGTATTTGAGTGGTAGTCTTATCGTCATCAGAATTTGACATTCCCTTTACATTATGTGCAAGTCTTCCGTATTGATGAACGCAATGAACTGGGCGAGCAAAGGATATACATTCTTCTTCTAGTTCCTATCCGTTTCGGATGTTGGAAATCATATTGGCAATCATAACCTTGCTCGCTGCGGCTCGAAACAGCTCCGTTGAGGTTTTCTTAAACCATGTTCTTAAATTCCGCAGCCATGATATTCTCCTTCTACCGGGTCCTCGCTTACCTTTGACTTTACCTTGCAATATAGACTGTAGCAGGGAGTAACGGTGCTGATTTCTCATAACGTGTCCCAGATATTGCAATTTTATGCGTTTGATCGTAAACACAATCTCTGGTTCCTTCTTCATTTTTCCTAGAACTTCCTTGTTCGTGATCCTTGCTGTCCATGATATTCTCAGCATTCTTCTATAAAGCCACATCTCAAATGCTTCAAGTTTTTTAATAGTGGCGTCTGTAAGCGTCCATGCCTCCGCCCCGTACAACAACACAGAGAAAACATAGCATCTCAAATGTCTCATTTTTGTATCAAGGGATATGTTGTGACTTTTGAAGATGGCGCTCATTTTGTTAAAGACCGTTCTTGCCTTTCCTATGCGGCACTTTATTTCCTGTAAATTGCTCCACTGTTCGTTAATAATAGTTCCAGGATATACATAGGATAGTCTTTCTAGCCTCCATTCCGTAGCATTTCATTAAATGGAATTTTTTTTAATGATGTTTCTCGGTTTTTGGTTGAATGTTATCATTTGCTATTTAGATTCCATTTCGTTAATAGTCATAAATTTGGTCTTTTATAGTAAGGTTTAGACTGTATCTATTTTTAACTTCAGCTATACGATTAATTATTGTTTGTAAATTGGCCAGATTATCTTCACAAATTATGGTGTCATAGGCGTACCTTATCTTGGTATACCGACAAAAGGACGCGGAAAAAAGGACGCATAAAAAAGGACGCGGAAAAAAGTACGCGCGAAAAAAGAACGCGTGGAAAAAAAGACGCGTGGAAAGAAGGACGCATATTATTAATGAAATACTATAAATAGTTTATTTTAATTGACAATAGCAATTACCCCTGTTTATCCCCTATACATAATTACAGAAAATGATTCTTCCTAACCTAAAATCGGTTACGGTAAAAGTAAAAAGTGAAAAATATTTATATGAACAAAACTTGTCTTCACACTTTATCCAGGCTTAGGACTGGCAGCAGAAGCTGGCGGGTTTACAAGTGTTTTTTTTTATTTTTTTTTTATTTTTTTCTTTTTTGTAATTTTATTTTTTTTTTGTTTTATTTTTGATATTAATTTTTTTTGTATTTTTTTATGTTTGCAACTGAAAATTGTGAGCAATGCCTCTCAAATATTCTAAAGTTGGCCTGTCAGCATAATCGCCAACAATAGCCCTTATCCTGTTTGCCGTATCTAGATATTTTCTTTTGCGTGGAGGTACATTGCCCGAAATGTACTGCTCTATTTTCAAAACATTTAAATCCTATTCTTTTTTTGGAGAATTAATAAATTTCCAAATATTCGGATGTCCACTATTAATAAGAGAAGAAAAGCTGTTGTGCTATCCTTCGACAGCATTATTAGTTCGAGGTATATCTTGGTCTGCCAAATCGTAACAATTCCATACATTTGCTGGAAAAAGGGGTTGT